TGGGTTTCTCTGTCAGCTAAAGGTATGTTTTACAGTCTCTCTATTCCAGTTAACGATTAATCAATCACTAAACTAGTTGACGATTATTTAAATAATCGATTAATCACGATTAATACGAATATTTGTTTCAACCCTACTTCTAAACATAGAATAATCATCATGTAATAACCATTAAAAACAAAATCAGAGCTTTACTTCATCTATGTTATCTCAGACTGTCAATAAATAAATCCTTATGCTCATTTGTTGAATCACTGTAGTCCCGCCCATTTAAAACAGGAAGTCATGTTCCTTTGCTAAAGATTCTTCTTTTTGCATTCTTACTAATGCAGGTTTGAAGATGTGTCTGATAACACGGAATCAGGTGATCCTTCATGGTTGGATCCTACCCTGATCAGTGACTGTTGGCTGCATCATGTGGGAGTGGCTTGATGGTGCTGTTCCACATCTCGCCAGTCACATGAAGTTAAGGTCTAAATCCCACATTTATTATAGATTTTCTATAATTAGATATGTATGATATTTGGCAACCTAAAAACAGCTCCACAGGATTTTAGGGGAACTTTGCTTGACTGTGCCAACTAGAATAATCAAACAGCTATATCTCCCTAACCGGTATTCAGTATTGAAAATCTTTCCTGGATATCAATATCAAGTTTGAAATTGTAGTATCGGGACATCCTACGTCCCTCTGAAAACAATGTCACAGGAAGTGTATTCTAGTGAAGAGGAATCCTTTCAAATAAACCTCTTTTTGACTTATCCTTTGCCATCAATGTGGAAGTTGCCATTACTTCTAAGGAAAGCTGGATTCGGGTTGAATATGGAAGGTTAGACAAACTCAGTCTAATCAGAGGTAAGGTCCAGGCCTGCTCTTCCCTGGATACAGCCACCCACTGGTGGGGAAGTGAAAATGCAGCGACTGGTTTCACTGGAAAAACAATCTCGAGATAAGTACAAATTTCATAGATTAGGTGTATTTACCTTTAATTTGAGCAGGTAAATTAGATAGTTTGCCAATGGAATGAGTATTTTTAGTCTTAAAATAAGACAATCAGATAATATGCACTTGAAATTAGAAAATGCAATTGTGTTTTCTTATTTTAAGTGTAAATTATCTTGTTCCATTGGCAAAATGTCTCTTTTACCTTATTCAAAAAGTAAGTAATAATAAATAAAATAAGTAATAAAAATTACTTATTTAGATTTTCATTTTTTCCATTGTTGGCAGTGGCATTGAGAGGGTGATGCACGGTTTCCCGCTTTACAGCTTAAGCTGAATAGTACAGTAACTATTATCATTATTACCTCCAACTCAATGGTTTGAAGCTTCATCTGTCTTTTAAAGTTGGCCCTAAACTACCAGTAGCACAAACCTTTTTCTGATTTAAAAAGAACGTTTTGAACTAATTGTAGTCCTCATGTTCTTAATGGCATTTGTGGATTAACTCGCCACAAATATGCTACCCAAAATGAAACTCTCATTTTCCTGTTCCTAAAATTTTGTGCAACTGACATCATTCAGGAGTTACAAAACAGTAAAACATGTCAAAATGCATGTTCAAATTAAGCATTGGTAAACAAACAGTATTATAAAGCCAAAAGAAGACAGCAGAGAAATCAGGTTTAGGCTCAAATCAAAACTAGGATTTTTTTTTTTTTTATATCCTAAGCTTTGAGCACCTGCTAAAGAAATGTGAAATTTACAACAAACAAATTAAAAGTGTATAGCGCAACTGGGATCCTATCCAAACATGTCCGTCCATCTTAAGTCTCCAGTCAAAACATGTTTTAGTCAATGATAGGGAAGCTTTAACACCTTTGGGACAATTATAAGTGTTAAATGCCTTTAATTGAAGGGTGGATTCAGAATGTGCTTTATTAGACACTAGTGTGGACAAACAAAGTATTTGACTTTGGTTTTACACACTCAAAACATACAGACTATAAGATTATAATCTAAATGAATGATGAGATAAAAGAAACAATAAAAGGAGCAGTATGTACATAAATATGAATATTTTTGTCAACAATAAAATGTGTAATTAAATTTTGAACTCTACACACTGAGATAGTATTCACTTTCTGAAATGTAATTCTATTATTTTAGTATTCTTGAAAAAAATAGCTTTTCAGTTAAATCTGACTCATTTCAAAGCAGGTGCATTAAGTGGATTTGATAGGGCCAATTCGATAATGACAGTTTTATCAAAAAGAAATCGAGACAACTACGATTAAAACATGCAGATTAAAACTGTGGTACAGGCCAGCGCTCCATCTCTCAGCCCCCGCTTCACTTTCACTCTTTGACGTGTTTTCTCATCTCCTAAATGCTGTCAGACGTCTCAGGCTTAATTACTCTCTTTGACTGACATGATAATGTAAAACAGTGCTCAGGTGAAACTAAAGCAAGAATTGGTCACGCATGGGCAGGCCTCCCTATGGGCACACCTTAATCAAATGTGACACGCTTCTGAGCGGGAGCCAAAATCATTTTGGGGCCCAAATAATGAACCTCTACCTGGGTTTCAATGACCACCTACATGTGTCTGGGTCAGCATGGTGATAAGAGTTTGATATTCTGTCATCAGAGCCCTAGTCTGGGTGAATATTTGGCCTTTTCTTCTCCTTAAGCACCTCATTAGAATTTCTTATTCATCTTAGCACATCCAGACTGTTCCTCACTCTTTAGTGTGTTTCCTGACCACAGGGGGAACACATTGAAAATCCTTGCACAAAAAAAAATCAAAACATATGGATAAAATATGTCAAAGAAGTCTCCAAGATATGTGGTTTTGCACATCATACTTCCACAAATATGGCATGATTGCACAAAAGTGTGGGTAAGATCAATTGAATGCAGAGGGCTCTTGAGAGCATGTATTCCAAATGCAAATCAGAAAACGTCTCTTAGATGGCTCCTTGCCTGCTGAATTCTTTGCCAGTTATGTGCCAAACACTCAGTGCAATTAAATCCCAACTATAATGAGAAAATGGCAACAACATTCTACCTATGTCAATCAATTTTCAGTGGCTTGAGAGCCAATCGTGCAACGCCATTTTGTGTCGGGTACAAGCTGCCCTCTGAAGGTTGTATTACCGGCAGGCAGTCACTTGAGAGTTATGTAATTGGGAAGCACATTGGAAAGTGTATTCCTGCTCACTTGGTACTCGCAGCAGGGATGATATCATTACAAAGTGCTTCTCTCATCAAATCCTCTCTTACCATCCGCCTCAGCCGCAGTTACGGTTTTAGCCATGACGAGTGTTCTGTATCTAGGCTTTATGTGTGTGGAAATGTGTTTGACTCTAATCTGTGAAAGCACAAGATGATAGTCTTTTCTTCCCAGGTTGCATGAAACTTTGTAATAGACAGATGGTTTGAAGTGGATAGGAAAAATAAAGCAAGATGCTAAGACCTAAAGGCAGAGTCTGTCTGCTTTCTCTGGTCGCTTCAAAAAGTTGCACTTGATAATTTTTTCACATTAAGTTACATTACACCTGCATTGCATCATAACAGGATTGGCTGACCAACACCAACTAAAGTGTCGGTGTAAAATAGAAATTAAGTTGTATCTGATTTTCTTTTTCTTTTCTTAATACAAATTAAAAATATATATGTTTTGTGTTTTGATTAAACCCCTTCACTCAAGAACCCCAAAATAAAATGTAGCAAAATTTCTAGCAGATTTTATAGAGGATGACAGCAAATCTTGCTTCATATAAGAGCAATTGTTCCCGTCCCAATTCCTAAGTCTCTTCTGTCCTTCATGCCTTTGTTACCCTAATGCAGAACACCTGATTGAACCAACTGCATCAGCTCTCTAACATGACATCAGGGTATGCAAACACATTTAATAACATAAGTTGGAAGAAGACAACATTTACATATGGAGCATGGAGAGCCCTGAAGGCCAGGGTTGGGATGGACTGTGTAGGGAAAAAGCAACAAGTAAAACAAGCAGCCCTGAGAAGATGAGATTGGAATTTGACTTTTTTATTTACAAAATGTTGAATTTAATGTGAAACTAACCCAGCATACAATCTCTATTGCATCATGCTGTGGGAAGTTTTCTTCCCAAGGCACAGTCAAGCAGGCTAGAGTTAATTCGAGGATGGATTGAGGTACATACAGAGAAATACTTGAATAAAACCTGCTACAAGCTGCAAAAGAATCCTGACAGGAAGCAGATTATACTGACAGCAGGACAGAGTTAAATAAACTTATGGCCAGATTTTCAATTAAGAGGCTTAGACCAAGGCATATTTATGTGTTAGAATGACTCAGTCAAAGCCAATACCCAAATCCAACTCACAATTGTGGCCAACCTTCAAACATGATCTCAACGGGCCTGTTTCATCCAGTCAAACTGAGCTTGCCACATCTTGCAAAGTAGAATGAGACATCTCTTTCTAGATTTGATGGTAAGGTAAGATCAATTTATTGACCTACTATATAAAAAAAGCACAGTAGAAATCAACACTGCATCTTAGGCCTCATAGATTGCTGCCAACTTTATGCTTTGGGGATGCTTTTAGTCTCTAAATTTTGCAAATCTGTTAGAGACATACCCTCATATGGATTTGCCGCTGCAATTGCAGTGAATATTGGCTCAATTGTAGGAAAGCGAACACAAATGCATGCCACACCTTTAAAGTAGTGCAAATAATTTGCAGGGCTCTATATTAAGGAATAAGAAGCAACTATATCACCTCTGCATTGGCTTATGAGTTTTCACGGACATTGAGCTGCAGCCCGTGCAAGCCATGCACATTCCACACAAAAAAAACAATAAAACTTCCAGTGAAATGGGGGTTCCATGTGCTTAGTAATGGTTCTTTGCTTTCTTTTCCATAATACTGGAAATTACAAGTGGACAGTTAGGACACCTTCAATGTAGGCAAAAATGGAGGGTCAGAGAGGTCAGAGGCCCCAGGAGAGACAGCAAGAGAATGGAAGAAAGATAATTGAAGAGGGAGAGAGAGAGAGATGTGCTTACCATTGACAATGTTGCTGTGAACCGCAGCTGCGAATAGTGCAGTCAATAAGCTGACAATCCATAGAGCAGAGGGGGCTGATGGGAAGGCCATGGTCTGGCACACAGATCCGCCTATCTCGCTGAAAGCTCAGGAGGGTAGAGAGGCTCTGGAGTGTCACCTGCAGGGGGGGAACACAATGGAGGAGCTATAACAACAAGCAGACCCGGCCAACTGACCACTAATTGCGTCCCCAGCCACTGAGTGAATAAACGCCTGGCCCACCCGGTACTCACGCGTCACTCTGTGTGTTCATCGATCTGCTTTTGCCATAATAAACTCTGTGTGTTTGTGGGGGGGTGTTAGGGAGGGGGGAGTATCAAGCTGCAAGAAGAGATGGAGATTGTGACTGGTGGTTTTAAGAAGTGGAAAAGGAGGGAGTTGTTCTGAATGTATTGCACCTGAATGATCTCATGCGCGCCGGTGGAAGGGAGAGGGAGCGCGTGTTTTTGGGCAGCTCTTGGATGACCCTCGACTAATTAAATATAATGCAAAGGAGCGCTGCCGTCCTTGCACAACACACAGGAAATAAAAAGGAGACCAGAGATGCACCTGTCGCCCGCTGAGAATTAGAGGATCAGCTTCATACGGTGCGCACCGCACAGCACAGCTTTGGACCCGAATATCGGAGATTAAAAAAAAAAAAAAACAGCTCTGCCACTGATCCTTTCCTCCTCTTCGTTATACACAAACATGCACACTCCCCTAAACCCTCAGCTTCACGTTTCTTTAAAAATAGCTGCAGCCCTGCGCGGAGGTGAGCCCTGTGTCCATCTGCGGCGCGCTGAGCGCTCACCTCGGCTGTAGTTAGTGCCAGCGGGACGGGCGCGGAGAGAGGGTGGGGTGTGCAGGGTGGTGCATGCAAACATGCATGTGTGTTGGAGAGGGGGGGGGGGGGGGGTCTAGCCTTTTTCAGGGGATGGGATGTGTGGTTATGGAAGGAGGGGGTTGCGCGCTTATGTTTATTGTTACTCCAGTCCTTCCTGTTGAGTGAGGGCGAGAAATGAAAACAAAACTCAAGTGAATCCATGGGAAATAACCCCCCCAAGCGCCTTCTTCTCTGCCTGCATATATGGGCGTGTTGAACCCAAAGTTCCCTCTGAGCATTTTTTGTTGCAAGTAATAACAGAAGCGACAATAACCGGAACAGCAGGTCATGTTTGGCTCTACCTGCATCGCTGCGACGGGTACCAAGAAATGTTTTCTAACATCTTCTCTCGCACTTGGAGAAGGAAAACCTTCGCTCTCTGGGAGGAGATGAACTCACCGAGACTTTCCGATTCGTATTGTTTTATAAAGCATCACAGTCAAAGAGCGCACCGAAAAACTCACATTTATTTTATTTATTTGTAAATGATAAAACAACAGATTCCTCAGATCTTGCTCTGCGTAACGCGCGCGCACACAGATACATTCCTGGAGACGGAAAAGCGTCAGCACTGACAGGTGTCTCCTGCCCATCCAGCAAACAGCCACCAAGCCAAACCCTGAACCACAACACAAACTGAAGCAGCGCACGTTTTAAAAGCACACACCGTGATATTCCTCCTCCTGGCTCCTCCGGGTTCTCTTGCTGCTTTACAGTAAGGTCCCCTCCACTGATGACTCTCCTCTTGATACGCAGCTTTTTTCTTTCCACTGCGGCGCCTTCTCTGTTTAATTCTTGGAATAATCTCCTCGTTATTTCTTGTTTCTCCTTGTTTAGTTTTATTTTTTTCCTTCGTTCTTTTTCCTCCACTGTTTGTAGGCTATCTGCGCCTCTCCACGGTTACCGTTCACTGCAGCAAAAACAGACTGTCTGAAAGACGGAGCGGGAGGGGAGGGGACAAGGAGGGGAGAGATGGGAGGGGGGAGGGAGGGAGGGGATTATAATACGATTTGGCCCACACCGCCGGGATAACAGAGCCAGAGCAGGGGCCTCCTGGCTGAGAGCAACATGAAGGAGATGGAACAGATATGGGATCTCACTGCACCGAAATATCACCATAATGTCCCTGTAACACTCCACAGTGACTCTACCCTGACCTTATCAGGATTTGAGGAATTTTATCACCTTGTAGAACAACACTGTTACATTCATGTTCAACTTTATCTACAGTTTGGACAGAGTGAACAAGAACAAAAATGAAATGATAGATTAGTTCCTGCTGATGTACTTGTTTACATATAGTCAGGGCTTTTTGATTAGAAAAGTTGCTGCTCAGTGGTCAGGAACTTTATACGTTTCAAAAATAAAAAATGGCTAAAGATAAGTCCCTTAATCTGCTGTGTTTTGAGTGATGAAAACAATGAGCAGCTTATTAAAAACAGTGATGTCATTTTCACCAAACATAAATAAACAGAAACAAAAGAAAATGAAGATATGCCCTTTCTTTTTATGACTTTAGGCGCATGAAGCGTTTATGATCTGGATCTCCTGATGGTGAAGGCAGACCCCTCTGCTTCCAGTGTTGATCCCTGTTTCAGCTGGAAGATGAGCCACCAATCCATGTTAGGCAAACCAACTTTTTACCAGCGTATTTGGAGGGGGAAAATAAATCAATCCGTACTGTTTTTTCCAAAACAACCATCAAGAAGCAATTTTGAGGGGAGTCATTAACAGCACTAGCAGATAAAATAAACAGTAATGTTTTCAGCTTTTAGCTGCCATGCTTTTATTCTGCTTTTATTTTCCTTTTATTTTATTGATTAATTATTGTAAACCACTTTAAATTCTCACTGTACTTAATTGTGTTACATAATAAACTTGCATTGCCTGGATTAAATACTTTGCTAAATTAGTGTACAGTTGCTTTACATAGTCTTACTATGATAAACACTATAGGAAACCAAGCATTGTAAGCTTATTTCTTTGCAGTCAGAAAGTACAGCGTTAAGGAGGAACTCTGCTCTGGGAAATGTATTATTATTATTATTATTTATTTATATGTTTAATATGCAGATGTTTATGGCTCTGTAGTACAGAACTAGTTTCGGTAGAGGGATCCTCTGCCTCCATTAGACCTGTGTATCAGTACTAACATTAGCTATTAAACTCTACCCTCCACTGTCATTCTGTAGGTCAGTTTCTATACTGGCCGAAAGTTCCTAAAGTTTCCTTTTTTGTGCTTTAATTAATTAAAAAAATATATTAAATAAATAGTGGACTTTTCACAATTACATTTGGGCATTTTAAAAGTATAATTGTTGAGGTTTATGAGGAAAAATGATTCTTTGTAAGACATAGATATCATTTTAAAAACTAATGTTTGATTAATAAAACTCATATAAGGACTTATAGACTTTTTTATTCCTATAGTAAAATAATTATCTCTGAATTCATAGCTTACTGCATACGTTTGTGGTTTCAGTATTAACTGAATTGTAACTAATTACCTGTATAATTACCCCCACAATGAATTTCCGCTTGATTTGCCGTTCATTAGAGACAGCTGCCTCAGGGTTAAAAAGCTCTGCTTGGTGGTATTAGCAGTAGTCCTGTCTCTAGTTTAAGTCGAATGCAAACTTAATATGGAAGTTTTTTCAAACATGCGTATTATGGGTTTAACTTAATGTGAGTTTATACCTCTTTCATAATACAAACCTTATAAACAAACCAGGCTCATTATTCCCTGTCAAACCACCACTCACAGTTGACCAACATCTTCAATTAAATGCACATTTAAATCTTTAGCTGTTAAATCTTGTTAGAAGTTGCTCATTTATGCCACTTCACCTAAAAAAAAATAGACTATATAACAAAAACTTATTGAATGTTCTTTATGAAAAACTGATGTGTTTGATTCAAATCATAGTGATTTCAAGGGCAAATTAAATACTTTCCAATGCTGATATTTTAGTGTAGCCACCTATCTGATGGATTAAGGCCTACACTGTGGTTAATTTCCTAAAACGAGGAGGTCATCTGCAGCAGATTGTCATAGTATTCAGTGGAGTATGATGTTTCTTATCAGCTGATATAGAGCTATTACCCATTTCTGGTAGATATGCTCCTTATTATCTCCCACAGGCTTGATAATTTGCAATATGATAATCACGTTACTCAGTCTTTGGCCTTGGGGGTCCATCTTTAAAAATGTATTAAATGTCATCTCTAAAAAGCTGAATGATTTTCTAAAATACCACATATTTATTTATTAATTTGTTGAATCATTTATTCTAAATAATGTATCTTTAACAGCTTGTTTGTTTGTTTATTATTAAATGAAGGAAACTCTTCAGTGATCTGTGGTGTCCTATACTGACATTTTATACATCTGGACCATTTAGGAATCAGGAGCTTTAATATGGGTGAAGGGACATAGGGAAGGCTGGGTTGTTCAACTTGCCAGAGAGGGATTAAGGATTAGTTTTACTGGCGGATTAGGTTTTTGCATGTAGGGAGGCATGATGGGGTTAAACGTGGATGGTGGCAGTCGCACGGCAGCACAATCAGTGGTGATGGCGAGGAAAAAAGGAATCCTTTGGGGGAATGTGTGTGTGTGGTGGGGTTAGATGAATATGTTAAATAATATAGAACAAAGACAAACCAGTATGTAAAATCTTTAAGCAAGCATCTGTTTAACATGTGGAAGAAAAAGTAAAATAAATAATAAATAAATGCAAATATCAGGTTTTCCAAGTTTAGCCAATGTGGGACTGTATACCAAAAAAATCCACCTTTAACTCTTTTAAATCATTCTACAGAGCACAGCCCTCTGATTTTACTGAATTAACACACGGTTTGCATTCAGCAATCTTAAAGAAACACCATTTCCTGTCACAGTGACACTCCATCTCTGTCTGTCTCTGTGCCATTACACCATATTTGAGAACAGCGACGCAGCATCTGGCATCATTAAGCACTTGTTATGAGGGTGGAAAAGGCTTTAAATGCTTTGTTGCTGGCGCTGCACATGAGGAGCGGACAGCTCCAGGTGCTGAAACGGTGACTTTGCCTCGGTGAGGCTGCACTAAACTGACTTGTCCTGTTGTGTTTGTGTGATGACTGAGTGCTACTGAGCGTGCAGCCCCAGGAGCACTAGAAGGTGTTCTGTGCTGGTAGACATGTGGGTGTATTTTAACGTTGTTGTTTTTTTGTTTTTTTTTTTACCATTTACATACCTTAAGAAACCTTAAGCCTTAAGAATCTGCTATGAGCTTGGATATATATGAAACATTGAATCTTTCTTTATGTGTGTTGCAAGCATGCAGAGCATCTTTCTTAAAATATTTAGAATGCTGAGGCTAAAAAAGAACACATTTGCATCGATCTATCATATCCCCAAAAAACTGTACCAGCACACAAACACATCTCTGCCGGGACTCGAACCCGGAGCCTCTGGATTAGAAGTCCAGCGCGCTATTCCATTGCGCCACAGAGACTGAGGCACATTTCTTTCTCCATCAAATCCTACTTCATACTCCCCCACCCATCGCTGTGCAGCATCCATTCCATCTCGTAGCATCAGGACCGCAACCCTGAGAATTTCCGCCACCGACCAGTAGGGGGTGCTGTTGCCACCACGTTTTCCAAAATGCCCTCATGACAGGGATCCCTGCTGCTTCAAGGTAGGTTATTAATAAGAAATATCATGATGCCAACATTTATTTATCATAGAGATTATGAAGAATCTTACAGTGTATCTACATGAATTTTTTTAAGCCTGTAAATACCGTTCTTGAAGTGAATAAAACAACAAGGTTTGTTAGTTTTAAGAAAAGATCTTTTGAACAGTTATTTTAAACTAATAGTATCTCACACTGAAATTGTTTAATACTTTAATAATATATCTTAGAAGTTATCTGAGGACTGATGGCGTTGTGTCTGAAATGTAAATGGATCCTTACATGGAATCTAATCAAAGCTAGAGGCAGTTTTCTATCTGAGCTGGAAATCCTCCTGGACTACAAATTACTGTCAACGTACAACAGGAAATTACTTAAGACCTACGGCACCCGGCAAAAGTATTTCTGTCTCTTCTACTAACTTCACACATCTGGAGGCTTGATTTGTATGTTGTTTGTTTGGCCCGTTTTTCTTTTAATATAGCTTAATCTCAGAGTGGGGAAAAGATCTGGACATTTTTAAACATAATTTTTCTATTTTCTGGTTGTATATTTGAGGTTTTTATAAAGCTTCATAAAGGGTTTAGGACCTGGACTATATACATGAATCCTATAGACTACAGAAGAGTTTTTCGTTCAAAATGTTACTTCATCTTTCTTCTCATCAACTCTGACCAGGTTACTTGTAACGTTAAAGGAAAGCATTTCTATAGCATTATAACGTCCTCCTTGGTGCAGTGTGAATGGAAAGTTCAGGGTGATGCCTAACATTAGTTTTCCTCCACTAAGTGCTTCATATGTATAACAGCCATTTGAATTTGTCTTATCTTACCTGAGTCATTTTCTCCATGTTTGATTCCTGGGCGCCACTCTCATTGATTCACCAACTTGTTAGATTAGGTGGACAGATATCTTGACCTTTTTGTTTCATATATTTGATTTTCTAAAAACCTTTTATCTGCTCCAGCACTTTATCCCTGACCTGTCTGCTGTTAGTTTCTATGTTCTCAAAAATATTTTCCAGGGCTTTAGAAGAAAAATGCATGACCCAGTTCAGATTTTTGTTAAATAACTAAAACCTTGTATAACTTTCCTATTCATAAATGCCTACTTTGATTTATTTAAGTACATAAAGTCGTAATAAAATCCTAAAAGGTTGGTTGTCAAAATGTAACAAAACCTAGTGAGGAAAATAAGTATTTGAACACCCTGCTATTTTGCAAGTTCTCCTACTTAGAAACTATGAAGGGGTCTGAAATTGTC